AAAAAAAAAAAAAAAAAAGAACCTGGAGCCATAAATAATCTAAAACAGGAGATTCTGGTGTCAGTAAGAGCCGGACGCCCTTTCTCTTAAGCTCACTGGCCATTATTTCTTTGGGTCAAGGATTCCTTAAATATCGTTTAAATAAGCAAGCACATGTGCTAACAGTACACACCCAACCCACCCCTCTCTCACCCTTTGTGAGCTGGAGTTGACTGCTCATTAAACTAAAACCAATGTTACACTTGCCAAATACACAAACACAAATGCAAGTCAACTCTGCCCCAGTGTGTGAACTCTGTGTCTCCGTTTGCAGGATGGGTTTAGGTCACTTGCCTGCTATGCCAGGAAAAGCATGAAGATGTGCAAGCTCTTATTAATGTCAGCCCACCCAGGGTATGAGATTTAATTCAGTTAGTCCCTTGGGTGACCCCCACAAGAGCAAGCCATTTCTCTTCTCTGCCTCAAGAGTCAAGGAATACAAAGCCTAGTCCCTCACTGTGGGCTTCTCCCTGGCCAGGTGCCCACAGGATGGGGGAGCAACAAGGGTGCAGGGAAGACATGCTGAGAAGGGGCTCAAGGCCATTACATCATGTTCACAGCTTACTCATCTCAGTGGGCTTCTAATCTGAATTTTAGAGCATGTCCAAAAACGCAAACAGAAATGGTTGGACACTGACATCTTTCAGGTTTCTGAATTTTGAGAAAACAAGTGGGAATTACTTTTCAGTATCAAACAGAATTATGTCTTATCTTCACCTGGCATTGTTTAGGACCTCTGAAGAGTGGCAGAGCTGGAGTAAGTCTGTAAGACTGGTCACTCAGAGACTAAAGAAAAGTGCTGACACAGAAGCGGCCTTCTATAAAATCCTTTAAACCACACAAGTGAAACAAGCAGGCTCACCAAATCTCAGAACATCAATGTGGTAGAAATTCACCTTTGGAGATCTCCTCCATTCCTAATGCTGCCAGGCACCAAGAACCCAGATGAAGAAGTGACTTGTATGCCAACAAGTTCATGGTCAAGGAGGAGAGAGAGAGAGAGAGAGAGAGAGAGAGAGAGAGGACTACTACAATATCAGGGGGAAAAGCAATGGGAAAGGAGTAGGAGATTGGGAGGAAACAGAAAAAGGAGCCATCATATTGTGATAGAAAGGGCTTCTTCACAAACGGCTGAGGAGATGGTGGGGCCAGTCAGCACCTTCCCTGCAATGGTACCTGCTAAAAACAAAAACTGGTTTCAAGAAAACCTTAGAAAAATTCCTTGTTATAAATAATGAATAACTTTTAAAGGAAAGTAGGCTCCTTTGAGGTTGAAAAGTAATCAATACCAAAACTCAAACGCAGTTACACGTTGTGTAGGAAGGTAACATTTTCCCCCAAACAGTTTTTTTGTTAAAAGTGTTTAAACCATTTCATAATTATTATTCTTATGAGAGGGTCCGCCTGCAATAAACAGGCTTCCTGCTTGAGTGAAGCAGAGGAAGCAACAGTTTCAACAAAAAGTGATAGAACTCCATAAGCTTCAGGTGACCTGCCAGTAATGTAAGAAGCTGCAGTAACAAAACACTCTTCAGGGCTTCCCTGGTGGCACAGTGGTTGAGAGTCCGCCTGCCGATGCAGGGGACACGGGTTTGTGCCCCGGT